GGCCCCAAAGAAACAAGGCCAGTCATGCTGGGCAGAATTTATTGGACCTTCTGGCCCATCAGGAGCAGCAAAACCAGATCCAGCTACAGAGAGCATCCGTTGAGCGAAGGGGGCAGAGCAGAGATTGCGGCGGGGGGGGGGGGGGGGGGGGGGGGGGGGGGTGGGGGAGGTGGGGTGGGGGCTTTCTTGCTTCTCCAGACTTCACTCAGCTGCATCTTCAGACTATGCCTGGAACTCGCAGACGAAATGTGCCTCCATTCTGCAGGCTCTACTCCTCCATTTGTTATTAGCTGGGCAGCAAAAGAGAAATTTTGATCACTTTCTGCAGAGATTCCCTGAGAGTCCCAGAAGATCTTTTCAGAGGCTCCTGGCTCATTTGCAGGAGGACATGAAGATACCACAGGTGGAGACTCTCATCCCCTAAAACAGGCTGGGGGTTCAACAGGTTCTTCTAACCCAGATAAGTTACCTGGCCCTCAAGTTTCTTTCATTTCTTTTGTCTCTTTTTTAATTTAATTTTTATTTATTTATATTTATCCCACCTCTTTACTTTACAACTCACCCAAGGCAGCAAACATATCAAACACACCTTCCTCCTCCTCTTTTCCCCAGAACAACAACAACCCTGTGAGGTGGGTTGGGCAGAGAAAGGGAGGGGCTGGTCCAAAGTCACCCAGTCGGTTTTAGCGCCTAAGGTGGGACTAGAACTCCCCGTCTCCTGTTTCTAGCCTGGTGCCTCCACCAGAGACCAAATTGCTCTTTTGATTGGTTTATAATTCAACGAACCATGTGTTAATATTTCTCTGCAACACACAGAAGACACATACACAAAATGTGGCCGGGGTTCTTCTCACCGCAATGGGGTGTTGAAAATTGATCTACATCTGAGCAAGCAAACCAGGGGGGAAAAGCCAGATGCCCTGAGACAATGATGGCCTTTCGGAACAAGGTTAAGATGGAGCTTGTTAGTTACATTATGAGCTGATGGCCCCGTAATAATTTTCATACAGAGCTCCAGTCCCGTTTTTAACGGTTTCTGCCATGGTTGTGTTGTGTTCCCTTGTCTGTGCAGAGTGTGGGACTGAGTCAGCTCACAGATCTAGGAGGTCAAGAAAGGTCCCCAGTGGCCAAGGAGGGGGGGCTGCGAGAAGGATCCCCTGGGGTCCTCGTGGAGGGAAGCGCACCCTCCTTGACCTAACACCATGTGCACCACCGCATGGACTTACTTGACTTGAAGTAGACACAATAAGATTCTTCAGCCCAGGCTTTGTATCTGAGCATGGCAGCATTGCTCCACTGCCAGTCGCATTGCTGGAAAGACAAGGAGGCCCCGTGAGCCAATTGAGGAGGGGGCTCAGGCTACACAGACAGAAAAGTGGGTAGGTTTAAAAGGGCAGAGCAAACGTATCCTCCTTCCTTCCCTGTCTCTCTTTCTATCTCTCTCTTTCCCTCTCTCTCTCCTCTCTCTCTCTTTCCTTCTCTCTCTTTCTCTCTCTTTCTCTCTCTCTCTCTCCCTCCCTCTCTCTCTTTCT